CCTATCTATACATTCAATTTGAATAGAGAAGAGAAACTCTCTGTCGCTACGATCTATTCCACGAAAATATATTGAGGGAACGAACTTTGAGAAAGGGATTCTCACCTCATTCAATTGCATCATCCCCTCATGTTCCATGCACAGCTCATGCGACCAAATACCTATACTAGCGCTTGACTACGAGGTCCCAACCGTAACAAAGAAATGTATAAAGCAAGAATTTGAGAGGGAGAGAGCGAGAGTATAACTAGAGTTGAATTGAATTGAATGGATCGATTGATTGATTGATTCATATGAAAGTCGTCGGCTGACATTTAAGAGAGAGAGTGTGTGTGTGGTAGTCTCTTCCCAGTTGCCCCACTATATGATATGCCGCTACCATTTAAGAGGTTTACAGAGACCACCCGGAAGCAACCCGAACAGGGAGCTATTCTCTTGTGCTCCGTGTATTATAATGTAAATGTACAATAGAAAGGACCAAATTGAGTCACTCATAGCCCTATATTTATTATCAAATCTTCTTTCTTTTCCTTCCTTTATTTTATTTTATTTTTATTTTTATTTTTATTTTTCATTTTTACTTTTCTTCCATCCTTATTTCCGGAAATTTAGAAAAGAGGATCACAGGTGTCAGACCACTTCTCTTGTATCATAACGTCATACTGTCGTTACGTTACACTCCACGATACCCGACAATCTTTGGGTAAAAACAGCAAAAAGCATCCAGGAAAATTGTTCATGTTCGAAGCAAACATCTCAGGTCCCAGGTACATGATTAACCCTCCCATACTTCCATCCATTAATCGAAGGAGGCCGAACATCATATCCCCTCTTTTGGGAATCTCTTTTGGACCAACCATGTGCCGCACTAAAAAGAAGCGCATCTGAAATTGCGGGGGAAGAAGGACGCAAGCAAATCATATTGTCATGAAAAGATGACCTCCTCACCAGTAAAGTTAGGGCCGAAGGAATGCCGTCCAATTACGAGACGCAAGTTCCCATGTCATGCAGGATCTTCTGCCATCCAAATTGCGGAGAGAGCTTTCCCGCATTGGTTCTTTCAGTCCACGAGCCGCCTTTGCATTTGCCTAGGTTCTTGTTTTCCTTTCCAGCCATACTATATTCCCCGTCGTCAGAGGAGAGCGATTTCCGTTACTCACCGATATCCTCAAGAGGTAAGTTCCATCTCCCACAGTGACTGTCCGTTTAGGCCCCTGGCTACCCCTTTCGTCAGTCCAAGGGGGTTGCAACATTAACAGACAGTTCAACTTCTCCAACAGGAAGAGCTCTGCAGCCCCACCCATGGTTGAGAGCTGTTGGACCCTTCCTCCGGCCACTGGGTCAATGATGGTTAATGACACCAAAGATTGATGGTAACCCACGGATTACTGGATGTCCATCCCAGTCTTCAGCCCCATTCACTATGCAATATTTCAACCGAGGCCGGATTGGTGACGTGAGGATGTTGCACGATTACTCTCCTTGATCGTCATCTGATACCGTATTGACAGGATTTCTTTGATCAAAGTTTTTCCTTCCCCTTCCTCTTTCCCCCCCTCCTCCTTTTCTTCTTTTTTTATATTTGGATCCTTCTCTTTATCGTTGTGATGCTTATATTCCCCGAGATTCGGTTTAATACCTCCTTGACTAGTGGTCTCTGTCGAACCCCGTAACGGGACTTCAATGTACACGAATATATATATGGAGAACGGCAGATACTCGTATACGATACACTCTGACTAACACCTCAGCCACACACAAGCAAGAAAACCTATTATTCCCATCCCATCCTCCATTTCCCACCGGTAATATTTGAAAGCCGATCCGATCTCACAATTGTTAACTACATACGGATAAGACTTTATGATTTCGATCCGCATCTAGAACCTCGCAGCCCCTTCCAGGCAGGTCCGACCATGTCTACCTTTCATATAAACCTCCAGGTCTGGGAAGTCAGATGCTTCACACATCCCCTGCAGTAAAATTCGAATACCAACATCCCTTAGTTACGAGATTATGTCCGTAGCCCCTCAAGATATCGACTAAATTAGCACTACCTACGCTTGAGCACCGCCTCCCCCCCTCCCCGGCCGAGAGAAAAGTCCATTGCATCCCTAGGCCTCACTTCTCCAATTTGGAACTCCACCTTCCGCGCTCCCACCCGACGCTAGTATCTTTGTTTTTCAATTCCCCTTGCGGTATTGGCTCTGCTTGGTTGGGGTATGTCGTTGCGACATGTGTCTGTAATTTTTCGTTTTGTTGTGTTCGGCATTCGGCTCCTCATTCCCGAGGCCCAATTTGTTCTATTTTTCTGTGGCGAGAGGCTGGGCTGTTGGTGTAGGGCCGTGGCGAATTTAGGACCTCTTCAGCTTGAGAGGGTACCAAGACTGAGATTATATGTTAATCTTGTTGTTCTTAACGTAATTGGTAAGCGGGTGACGCAGCTCTATATTCCATACAAATCAGCCCTTTTTACTACTGGAATATCTCAGTAACCACAAGCTATAGTAATATAATATTCGAAGATAGTATATATTAGTACTTTATCTTTAAACTATAAAGTAGAGAAGTTTATATATGCGATACTTGTTTCAATATTAAATATTGCACCTGTATTTTTGATATTTCTACTGGAAAGTGTAAGACTAAAAATAAAAAAATAAGAGAAAAATATTTTTAGCCTGTTTTACCCTATAATATATTATATATAAAATATTATATCTTTGCAATCTCTGGTTACTGAGATATCCAAGTAGCAAAAAGGGCTGATTTGTATGGAATACAGAGCTGCGTCACCCGCTTACATGCGTCGCTCGCTTACCGATCACGTTAGTCTATGCCTTGTTGGATTTCGTAGTCTTGCTCATCAAAGTCGTTATAGAATACTCTATAGAGGTGTGTGTGTTTTTATAGTATATTTGATAGTTATTGTACAAGTCCCCATTACGGAGAGACGTAAAAATGAGGATTTCCATACGCAAAACTCTTCTATCCACTCATTAAAACATTGATATGCAACCAATGGTATATAAACGAAACAAACGAACAAAGACACGGGCAAAATACAATGCTTTTATGGGGCCGAGTCCAGAGTTCCTTTGCCTCCTGTAGAAGCGGTGGCAGCAGCACCCTTCTGCTGGCGCAACTTCTCTTCAAACTTAGCGAATTCGTGCATCGAAATCTCCTCTTCTTCATCCATCACTTGCTCAACTCCCTGCACTTCCTCGATCTGTCCAGAAATGCACCATTAGCCACCTACCCCAACAAGCAACCTCGAGGGGAGAACAAAAGGCGGGAAACTTACGTAGTGCATAAGCATAGACTCAATGCCATTCTTCAGAGTGACAGTGCTTGAGTCGCAGGTCCGGCAGGCACCGCGCAACTTCAGCATCACAATACCGTTCTCAAAACCACGAAGCTCAATGTCGCCTCCGTCTTCCTGGATTGCCGGCCGGATTCTTGTCTCCAGGAGCTCCTTGATCATGCTGACAACTTCGTCGTCCTCTTCGTTGTAGCTGAGCGATTCCTCCTCGCCGCCCTCTTGCGCGTTCTCTCCGGACTTAGCGACCGTGTTGACGATCGGCTCGCCGGAGGTTACCGCCTGCGTAATCAAGCTGAAGATCTCGGGTTTGATATGGGCCCAGTTCGCGTCGCTTGCCTTAGTCACAGTGATGAACTCGGGCCCAAAGAAGATAGAGGTGACTCCATCAACATTGAACAGGTTCGCAGCCAAAGGGGAAGGGTGAGGAGGAGCGAGGGTAGAGCGAGGCGACAGGTACTCGAGGAACGATGTCGGGAAATCCTCCGGGAGGACACGATGGTTAGGGATGAACTTCAGAGCCTAAAGCCAAGTATCAGCGTCAGTATGAGTCCAATTGAAATGGCCTGAATAGTGATAGACCTACATCGGGATTTGGTGTATTCTCGGTTTGGATGAAGATTGAGCGCTTGCTGACTGGGGCGGGCCCATTCACACGGGCCACTGCAGACTGTTGGTGAGGCCGCAAAGTCGGCCGATGACGAGCCTCCGAGGCAGTAATAGCGGGCAACCGAGCCGAATGGTGGATAGTTCTGTAAGATGCAAAGACGTTGGGGAGGACGGTGCGCGAGGAAGGCTCAATCATACTCAAACGCTGTGCCGTGACTCTAGAGTTCAGAATAGCTCGCCTAAGCATGGCACCGGATACTGAGCTGGCAGACATATTGTGAACTTGGCAACCTAGTACACTGGCGTATCTGGTTTGTCTGTTTGGAAATTGTTTTTGGATAGTTGATGGAGTACAATACTTTCTTCCGACCGCCCGGCACTCTGACGCAATGGGTTCACGTGATCACGGGAAATAAACCTGCTGATAAATCGGTAATTGACTCGAGCCAATCACAAGTGGCAGTTTGACATTTACCCGACATTCCAGAGGTGCATTGCATTCCGCGGAAAGCGAACATCGGAGTCCATGCTTCGAGCATTCCTGAAAACAGTAGTCTCCTCACTTTTTTTTAAAGGTATCCTTTCGACCGTATGTATATACAGTACGGAGTACTCCGTACATGCTCTACTATTTACAAGCAACTCAACATGTATATTGCCACACATACACACATCATATGAACATCTTATATATATTTGGAAACTCTAGGGTCGCAACATGATATGTGATGATAATGTACCAACCAACAAAGACAAAAAGGCGGACTTTTCCTGATCGATGGTGATACTCTTGGGCTATAGCATTAAAGGACTTAACACTGATAGCTGCCTACACTCATTTGTTATGTATGATAGACGACACATTCAGAGCTCTCTCCCGGACAAAAGTCTATTGTCTGAAGCTTGGGCTCGATGGGCATTGACGCTGGCACATGGAAGCTGGTCTTTAGAGGAAACTTAGCAGAGCCCTTGTGCTTGCGCGGTCGGCTTATCCTGGTCGTACCTGACGTGGCCCAATATCTTGCCATCTTGTTTGCATAGGTGTTGACCGCTGTAATCGCCAAATTTGCTCTCACTCAGGCGATATCGATTTGGGAGTCAGATATCTCTGCGAAGAACGGTATTTGGGCCAGACCATATTCTTCAGAAAATACCCGATACCAAGACCTAACTGAGGCAGAAGCACAAACACTCCCTGGCACCACCGGTATTTTCCAGCCAATTCATGTACGCTGTAGAACTGTGCGCTCTGACTCAAGGGAGCAAGCAGTACCTGGGCGCCCAAAGTTTTCAAATCTGGTTGTAAACAATAAATAACAGAGCGACAGACCTGGTCAGCATAGTGCTCGGCAAGATTAGTGAAATCAGCTATACTTTCCAGATTCAGCGTGACTCCAGAGTTTACGTGCTCGCCAGAAAATGAGTAGCAGCTATCAAGAGAGTCATGGTCCGCCGAAAGTTGGAGAACCTCAAGTAACTGGTCTATCAGAGGATAGAGCAGTACTAATGCAGTCCAGTATATTAGATGAGCCTCTGCACACGTGAGAGACGGGAACTGAAAGGGTTTGGGCAATAAGTGGGTGTAGAGAGAGCTTCTAAAATCATTTCGACAAGTCATATTAGCAGGTGATACCGAAGGTTTTCCGAGTTCCTTCTGCATCATGCAACAGATTCGATGGAGCTTCTCCTCTAAAGAGAAACAAGAGAATAACAAATCTCGCCCAGTACTTTGAAACTGGTCGTGGCCACCAACCGGGTCCTCGAGAAAGCTGTCAACTTGTTCCATCAAAGCACAACAGTCCGCCAACCGATCAATAAGCTCATCGATGGGCTCAGGACCATCTGAGTCTTGCAACGAGCTACCCTGCCAAGCCGAAGCGTCGTAGAAATCGGGCGCTTTGCGTTTTCCAATTGCATCGCACAACTGGTTTGCTAGGCATCAGCAGGTACAAGTGGTCAACTTCTCTAGGATCGGAACACTAACAGTGACGAACTTGAGTTGACGAAGAAAGAGCCTTGAGGTAGCGGTTTCGTCATCCTGTCCAGAGCACTGGTTGATGACCGCACTACTGCCTTGGACATGGGCAATCCACGCCCCAAACCCCGGTGGAGAGCAATTGATTAACTGCTTCGCTGTCAGCTCATGCGATAACAGTGGGACCGAGTGCAAGTATATCTGTGAGACATACTTCATATATTTGAAAGATTATCGTGGTATACCAGACATCTTTTCCGAAAGTTCTCCCGGAGCTTATCTTACCATTTAGCATCTGAATGGCATTCCCGTAGATTTTGGTGCTGTTCTGCAGTAAATGTCTATCTTGATTTTGTTTTGCCAAAAATGCCGTGGAGAGAGCGATGACCGCTTTGTCTAGGAGCAAGCTACTCCCAGAGAGGTCTGGAAGAGTTTGAAGAATATTCTTCCCCGTCCTGTCGCATATATATTTTGACTGGGGCAGGTATCTGTCTATGAAGGACTGGAACAGTTGAGATCGGACCTCCACATTTGTATTGAACTGAATTTCGGGCCCCACCTGGTCTACTTGGTGAGTTCTAGGACCATTCAGGAGAGCTTTTGGACGCCGGGTGAACTTTTGCGCACCATCCTCCATTGCATTGGGGGATTTGTGTATGAAAACTCTTGACCGCTCATAACCGGTGCAGATATGGCCGTTCTTGAGGCACCGGAGGCATTCCGGTTTGAGTTCATCGCACTAAGCATGCGTTATAACCCAATGGCCCGGAATGCTGGCTTGTTGCGTAGGACAGAATTTGTGTTTAGTCTTACCTTAACCTTTCGGCGCCGGCATGTATTGCACCCGGTGGACTTAAACGGTATGCCGCCCATTTTCATGAATCGTGGTCTGATGTCATTTCAGTTGCTGCGCGCCGCAGAAGCGAAAGAGGTGAGCCAGAAAAGAATTTGACTCAAATTGGCTGCACATAGGATGAACTTGCCAACAATGTCTCTGATCAACTTGAAGATACTACACCCTATCCTACGAAGCGAGGATGAACCATGGAAAGTGGCCATGGATCACGTGTGACCGTTAGGCTGCTGATCCTATCCCCACTTCTCTGTGTCTCTCCGACTTTGGCCTTGTTCTGCTAGACTCAATTCTCAGATTTTCGAGAGCCCCGAATGCAGTCACGGCGAGGAAGCGGTGGCCGACAGTGTCTGTAAATCAAGATATAGCTGTTCCCGAATGGTGGCTTATTGAGGGTAGGGGTTCTACTATGCTATCCAGTGTCCCAAGATGTGGAGACTAGGTGTAGTTGTTAACGATCCATCTTCAATGACTCTTTTGGTGCTGTTAAATCAATCCAGTGACGTTCCATACATCAATGCTTGACACACAATGTACCAGCCTTTGGGATCCTGAATTAGGCGATGAAGCCGATGGTATTCCGTACAAAGGAGCTTTCATGAGGTCCGCACCAGTTTACCTTAGCACAAACATGAAACGCAAATCTGAATACGGTCATTGGCAACGAGCCTACCAAGAAGCCTAGGCAGGTAAGCTATCTTCTTGATGGCTGGTAGGGACGGATATAATGAGATAAATAAACGAAAATGAACTGGTGACACCTTTGATCAATGCTGAACCATCTGTGTCGGCTTGCCAGTCAGGCAGTAATTGTACGTCATCGCGAAATTGAGAGTGCTGTCCAACTTCAGGGATTGTATAGGACCACTGCTGGCGTTGCTGGCTTCATGGAATAAGTCAACTAGACTATCCAATGTTAGGTCTGCCTCCATAGACACTAAGTTACCAAGATTTTGACTGGTCTGATCAATGAAGTGGGCGGCTTGCAAATCACCCGCTGTAGAAGAGATTGTCACTGACCTTAGCATCTGGAAATCAAGGGGGTTTTTCAGTGTTGTTTGAGAGATATCTGATTAGATCCACTGATTGTGAGTCCTTGTATGTCCACATGAGCTCTCTCTCGCTCCCGTTCACGAAATTTCTTTAGCAACTGGATATCAGGGCATTACTATCAATTTTGCCCTCTGGTACTCCGTCAGCAAGTGCTATGTTGGTGACCGGCGAACGAACCGCACCCCTTTCATACATTCGACAGAAAAGTCCTATAAAATACTGATAAGCGGACGTGATTTTCTGCTAAGCAAGAATAGTCTTGAAAATCCTTTTGATCAGATCCAGGCTCTCAAGTCTCACGCCCAGTAAGACAATACGGTGTGACAAAATTGCTGCTGGGTTCATTCCTGTTGTTGCCAGGCGCGCGGTTGGTCATCCAGAGACCGCGGGTTTACTTCGCAAGGAGGATATGGCTTCTTTAATGGCCCGAAGCAGACATTTTGGCCTCCTTATTCCGGATGCTACTGCTAAAAGATGAGTATGCGTTCTTACCTAGATGAATACAATCATAGAGCCAGTCTTTTCAGCAGGGGAGGTTAAAATGATAAGCGGACTGCTATGGGCATTGCAAATCCAATCCCAATTTGTAAGAACGCAGAAATCGATGAATGAGCACGACGAGTTTTAAATACGTGTTACGAAGAATCGAAGCGCGTTGGCTGTGTGCTGAGTATGGTGGTTTCTGGTCTCTTCAGTCGCGCTGTACACAAGTCGCACGCCGAGATAAGGACAACACAAGCCTATCGGCAGGATGCTCATCCTTCACTTTTAGGTTGCGGTTTGAGACCAGCAGATATGTTTACGGCGACCTCAGAGTGCTTGACCATTGAGCAGAAGTACGATCCTTATAATACCTTTAAAAGATTATATCCTCCAGGAACCAGGAAGCTTTGGACAAGAGCTTTAGTGTCTCGATGAACAACGTTGTTTGTTGCCTAAGCTGTTAGCTTGCTAAAGGTCTATGCCATTTTGCGTGCACAGGGGAACTTCGAAAATTATATGCCGAGCCGATACTGAGAAGTTTAGCAAAGCGGTTGAATGTCGGCAATCAATCGATATGAAGACTGTTGATCATTTGAAGTATGTAGAATAGTCCCCATGCAACAGCAGCAGATAGATACACTAGTACTTTTCAGGCATGGTCTTATGCTGACTCATCTATTTCAGAGCTCTTTTGTTCTTGATTGACATTTTCGACCGCTTCCAACCCATCCCAAGTGTTTTAAGATCGACAAGCTTGAACATTAAGGCGATTTTAATAAGCCCATTGTGGTTGGATGCTCAACCATGCTTGAGGGGGTCTGACTGAATGCTGCGCAGCTGCGAAAGCTCTAAGGCTGCCCTAAGAAAATGCCTAATACATGCGAGGTTTGCGCCTCGGAACCCTCCAAATACCGATGTCCGACATGTGGGCTTATGAGGTAAGTTTTATGATTTATTAAAAAGAAAAGCATCAAGCTGTGAATGGATCCACAGATGCAAATACGACATATAAGAAAAGCAAAATCACTAATGTGCATCTCCCAGCTGCTCGCTCGCCTGCACCCAGTCTCACAAGATCTATTGTGCGCCCAAAGCACCATCGCCAGAGACATCTGAAGAAGTCAATGGTACCCGTCACCAGCCACAAGAAGTCAATGGGCATACTGGTGAAAATACGCATGAGTCACAGAACGATACCGACCCCCGTGCTTTAGGGTCCTCACCCCAGCTTAAGGAGCTGTTCGATCGTTATCCAGCACTATGTGACCAGTTACGAGATATCTATAAGGCTACCCTTGAGGAGGAATGGGTTGAGACTCAAGCTCATGGGGGCCGACGACCCTTTGGACGGGGAAAAGGAGCCCCTCGCAGCCGAGGACCTTGGACTCGTGAGAAGGGCTTCAACAGAGGTTTGGGGAAAGTCAGGAAACTAAGGGAGATGTGCGAGGAAGGCTCGGAGGTCGGGAAAAATGCCGAAGGCTACATGCGATTCGTAGCCTTGGTCAATGGAGAGCGTTTCCCTCGGGAATCTGCATAATGTATACTTATTTCGTTTCCTCTTTTCTCTTCTGCCTGGGTAGCATCTCGTGTGCATAGAAAGGGGGTTTAGAGTCATGTGTTTGCCAGACATCCTCGACCTCAAATAACTGTGCCGAGGCTGAACATGTTTGTATAAAAAAATATCGGGCAATAAAACAACCGTTCACCTCGGAAAGTTCCTCAGCAGAGGACCGAGTATATACGTGGTAATTTTGATTGACGTATAGTACTCCTTTAAAACACACGAAGAATAAATCAAACAAATCAGAGTAATCAAGAATGAGGTTATAAGGTTCTAGAGATATGCATATTAGCTGATCTGACTATGTTTAACTCGCTCTCCGTTCCGCTGCTAGGTGACTAGACGGGAATTTTTGACTTGGGCATATAAGCTTAAAACACTACTACCCTGGGAAGGCTGCAATAATAAAAATGACCGTGGTCTGCCCTGCATAGCCATAGCGGAGGGACGTACTCCGTTCGAGGACTTCATGTTGACACTCGGGCCATCTTTGGCAGAAACCAACAATGTCAGCAAGCACGATGTTCCCCATAAAAAATAAATGAACTTCGTTTGACTGGCTGTCTGATGGAGACTAATGCAGTTTTAATTGACAGATCCGCTTGAGGCTGGACCACACAAAGCCACTGGTGTTGACAAGAACTAGGTTAACGCCGTGGAGCTGAACCAAAGTTTTGTGATATGTGTGACAGATAGGTAGGTACTTCCTTTAGTGCTTGGGTGTTGGTGATAGGGGAAAACACCTACCTGTGCGGTCTACTCCGTATGGAGCTTCGGGATGTCATTAAATAAGTGCCCGAGAACTAATGAATCAGTGAGTACCGAATCAATCAGCTTTCATTGATCCAACCTTGGAAAGGGACACAGACCCTCTAGAGAACATGAATTGATGTGACTCTAGGATTGGCATCGAGTACGTAGTCCGTTCATTATTGGTCTGGATCCAAGCCCCCGTCTACTCGTGGGGAAGGTCGTGCAACGCGGCCTTCATTTGACGAGGTGAAACCGTCCCGAACTATGGTCTTAGCGTATCCTTGACCACAAATCGATACACCTATCCTAGGGACCCGAATGGTAAGCGAGCCCTTGGATTTTTATATTAAAAAAAATAGTAGGATTTGAGAGATGGTTTATTGGGTAGGTCTAGTTGCCACGTGAGCATCCCATGGAGAACTAGAGTCGTACTCCGTAGGTGAAAAAGACATTGTTAAGAGGTGATGATCATAGTAGGTAGTACGGAGTAGGGTTCGATACGGACTTTCCTACTGGAGATCATGTGTTGTCTTAATATATATGCCTAGGTATAAGATACTTACTACCCATATTAGGCTATTAGCAACACCTAGGTTGTTGATATCTGTATTTCTTACTATATGGATGGCATAGCATGTGTCTACTAGTATCGGCGATGTAAAGTCCATGGGAATGATCACACCTTAAGAGGGGGGATGTGTTTTGCAGCAATGAGATGTCTGATCCCCATTCTCCTATTCTGATTCGGAGAGGTTGTAAAGCTACCGTCTCATTGTTTGTATCACACATGGCCATTAATGATTCCCGGTGGCCTCCGAAGCTCTTTTTGCTCTCGAGTCATTTACGGAGTAGTCACTTGAGTTTCTCATTATTTGTATTTTGTTTATGTTTTATTTGAACCAGTCCTTTCTTCATTAAGTTTCAAGCTGACTGTAGTTTTACTATTTATTCTTGATTTCGCTCCTCCCTTACATAGAAATGAAATTTAGTAAAAAAAAAAAACCAGGTCAAAGACTATGTTCCTCCCTAGAAGACGAACTTTTTGAAGGGTCCCGTCGGCTTCCCACGCGGTGTGAAGATCCCAGCCGGGACGGGCGCACAACGCCTTTGAAGGACGCAGAAGTTAAACTATTCTTTTCCTGTACAAGGTATTTCCCTGGCAGGTTGACATCGATGTGTCTTCTTTGTTTTTCTCTCTCCATCTGATTGATTCGCCCCCAGGGCACTCGTGCGTACGTGCGTGTGTTTCTAATTATAATAACTGTCCAGCTTTCTTCCGACCAGCTTCTCCATCGTTTTCTGGGGCTCTGTCGGGCCAGTGACATCGCTCCGTCTGTTGCGCGCAAACTCGCCTTCGGCTGATCTTACGACCACTGAAGCTCCTACCCAGCATAAAAAGTATTTGTTCTCAACGTCACGAGTATTCTCTTGTGAGATTCTGTCCAACTCTTATCTACGGATACTGGATTTTTCATTGCTAATTTTGGATTTGTTTGCGTCTAGTTTCCCTCTCCGGTGTTCGGCTTCTGAAGCATCACAGAATTTAAAAAAAGAAAAAAAAAAGGAAAAAAAGTGCAGAGAGAGAGGAGGAAAGCGAAAGGAATTGACACCCGTGTTAGAAGAAGTCAAAGGATCAAATTGCCGACCGTCCTTGGTATCGCTCTGAACAATCCCTTCGATTGCAAATACTCCGATAACTCTCAGTCTGGGTTGCGAGCGACAATGGATGAGCTGCCGTGCCTGCTTCACTTACTCACGTAGCAGCAGTTGGACCTTGCGCTGTCGGACCTTGTTTGCTGTATCGGATATTCCCTAACGCCGCCGCGCTGGGTTCGCGCGAGCATCACCCATTATGACCTCCCAGACACCACGACGAGAGCGGTCATCTAGCGACAAAGCCCAAGCCATGTTCGTTCCGCAAAGACCGGGTCTTCCAGGTCGAACAATTTCTGCCCCTGCCGGTAACCTGCATAAACTTGATTCTTCTAGAATGGCGACAGAGACCGGGAAGAAGATTGAGCCGTCTGTTATAGAAGAAGAGGAAATCATGACATCCTCCGGGAAGAATGGGGTTCCATATACCCGTGCTGGCGATGAGGTATTACTAAAACTATCTGTGTTGCAAGATCTGGAAAAGCGCATCGTTCTAACTATGATGCACTATACAGACATCGTCGAAGCCAAACTTTCCACTCGTCACCATTGCTGTCGTTGGCCAAGACCAAGTAGGTAAAACAACGTTTATTCAGAGTGCCTTGGATATGAAACAGCCACTTTCGTCACGAGCGACTACGAAGAAGATGTCGTTAGACGGGACTGTGTATCTCGTCCGCCTGCTAGAGATGAACACGACGGAGATAACAATCGGGAATGATGGCTTCTTAGAATGGCCACGAGTTGGAAACGAATCCCCGTCAGTAGACGGTGCTCTTGTTGTCCATGATGTGACACGTTCTGTGGGTCTCCCTGAACTTACAAGGTTGTTAGGTATGTGGCTCCTCTTTACTATCCCTAGTAATGTCTGCTATTTTATTGTGCTTCGCCGGCGCATTTACTGATTTCCTTTATAGACACCTTAGCAGCATTTGCATTCCCATCGGTATTGGTCGCCAGCAAATGCGACATTCAGGCACCAGATGGACCACTCGAGCCTGCGTTGAAGAACTACCAGATGCACAAGACATCCCCGGAATCGCCGCGGTCGCAAAAGATGTGTATCTCAATGGTTCTGCGTGAAGTTATTAACAGTAAATATGGTAAGCCCTGCCAACAACGCCATTCCACCAATACTGCAGCACCCTTTATTTCACGTACCCCTCATAGAGGAGAGGAGAGAATGAGAGCAGAAAGAAACTTCTGGACTGTACCATTGTTTTCTGAATCCCTTTCTCATATTTCTTGGCCAATCCTTTGAGTGGTCCGCCACGTTCTCGCTAGTCCCGTGGCGCGGCCTGAGACTAGCGTTCGCGTCCTCCCTAGTCGACCGCCGATCTTCAGGGTGTAGGCGTCGCGGCGTGCAATTCGCTTTTCGCTGCCTACTACTCGCTGGTTCAAAGCAGACTGGATACTAACAGTCTTTTAGACTCCATTGATTCCTCGTACTCATTCAAAAAACCCTCCACGCAGGACTGGCATCACAGCCGTGCCAACTCTGAGAACCCCACGGCTGCATTAACTGGAGCCGCGGGCGGCCCCATCACTAGTACCTTTGATCCGGGAGTCGATGGGTATGGTGAAGACCGCCAACCCACCGACCCCTCGAATTTTTCAAACCTGGCGTCCAATGCGCAAGTCTTACGATTCTCCCGGAGCAATACGTATCCGGTGCGGCCGCACACTCCTCCTTCAGGGACTCGATTGAATCCACACAAAACATCAACGGCAGAGGAGTCACCGGGAAAGGATGACAGTCGACAGCAACGGCTTCATGCCGCCTGGCGAAATAGCGGTGGCTCAGATGCCTTCAATAGCTTTCTAGATATGGACAACGGAATCGAAGGGCCAGCTAGCGCTCCGTCGAGTCCGGAAAGCAAAGAAAAGGCGTCGAGCGAAGGATCTTCCAATGGATCTTCGAACGATGCCGGATTCACGTTTGATGAACTCGTTGATCGCCTTGTTGCACAACCAATGTCGAAGCAGGACTCCAAATTCGCGTCTATATTCCTCTGCCTTTACCGCAAGTTTGCTGCCCCGTCCACCTTGTTAAATGCACTTATCAACCGATTTGAACGGAACGAGAAGAACTTTACCGATCAACTGACTCGCATTGCGGACCAGTTGAGGTTACTCAATATTATGTCCACCTGGGTATCGGAGTATCCAGGCGACCTAGCCTACCCCAAGACCCGCAAGCGGATCACGGATTTTGTGTCTACTCTGGAAAAGAGCCACTTTTACATGTTTGCCGCAAAGGAGGTTGGATCCTATCTCGAGAATAATGCAGAAGATGATGATGTAGGCTGGCCATTCAGAGATGGCGACGTCGATGAATTTGATGGGCACGAGACCTTCCTCAACAACTCCGGTCGGAGCTCACCATCCTTATTCCTTGGCGGATCGACAATCGACGAAGGCGAGGAGAACGAAGAGGAAGAAGACCCTATATACAACATGAGCGCGTTAGATCTTAGTGAAGGAGCATCTGACCCGTCTCCGAAGCTGTCGAACTCGGCTACTTTCGAGAAGCCCGGCACCGTGTCGAGCCAGTCGTTCACGTTTTTGAGCATGGAGGCTGCGCAGAAAGAATCTCAAAATCTAGAACTTACCCCTCGAATATCATTGTCAAAAATGCAATGGCGGCAGTTCATTGAGATTCCTGATGAAGATTTCGCGCGCGAATTAACCCGGATTGACTGGATCATGTTCAACTCGTTCCGGCCACGGGATCTTGTGCGACATGTCAGTATCTCTGGGCCGGATAAAGACAAGATAAAGAGTTTAAAACATGTCAATCGGATGATCAAACAGTTCAATCATCTGGCATTTTTCGTTGCTAGTGTTATCCTCTTCCGAGACAAGCCCAAGCACCGAGCGAAGGCATTAGAGAAGTTCATGAACGTTGCACAAGTGAGTTCCTGTATCACTTCCATTTTCTTCTTACACTAACCCTCGACTAGAAACTGCGTCGATTAAATAACTATAACTCGCTCGGTGCAGTAATCGCCGGAATCAATGGAACACCAGTGCATCGATTGTCGCAAACGCGCGATTCTGTGCCTATCCAAACGCAAAAAGATTTCATGAGGCTGGTTATCCTCATGGGAACACAAAAGAGCCACTTTGCATATCGCCTAGCATGGGACAATACCTTCTCAGAAAGGATCCCATTCCTACCACTGCACCGGCGAGATCTGGTCTCCGCTGAAGAGGGGAACAGAACATTTGTAGGAGACAACAAGTCTAGGATCAACTGGCGGAAATTTGAGGTGATGGGGGAGGTTGTATTGGGTATTCAGCGCAGTCAGAAGACGCCTTATCCCCATCTGCAGAGGTATGAGGATGCTGCCCGGCTGATACTCGATATCAAGTTATCTGGTGCCGATGAGGTTAGTTTTTATCCCCTTTCCGCATTGCACCTCTTCAATTTGCTGACCTCCTTAGGATTTGTATGCACGCAGTTCCCAGGTCGAGCCCTCCGCTGGCGGCGAGACGGGACGCAAAAAGTTCGGCTGGTTACGGTCGTAAAGGCGCGCGTGATGGAACATTTCCCTTGTCTCATATTTCTGTTGTCATCCCTGTCTATGAGGGTAACGATTCCATGACCCAGTCATACACTTGTACTGACGAGATGCCTGATGAATGATGACGATCGTCTGGTCTATGATGTACATACATACATATTGACATGTCTAAATATATTATTATATTACTGCTACACCGAACATAGCTCTATCTCCATCCACATGACTTGCTCCGGTAATATCACGTGATCACGTACCGATAGTAGACTGAAGTAAAACAACCATCACCAGAGGATCCACCAAAATCACCAACCAAATAAGTTCCTCAACAACACCTTCAAATCGTCCAATACAAACAAAGACAAAGAACCAAAAACCAAACGTGACGCCCCTTGACCAAACCGAAGAAATCACAAAATGTCCCTCCAAGCACAGGCAAGATCAACCTACCGCGCCCTCCTCCGCGAACTTCCACGCCGCAGCCTCTCAAACCCAACGCCTCTCCACAACCGCATCCGCGAGCTCTACCGCGACCAGATTAAATCGGCGGATGAAGGAACGCTACATGCTCATATCCAGGAGGCGGAGCAGGTGGTGCAATATGCGCGCGCGCAGCGCCAATATCTTGCGCTTGTTGAACGATATAACCCGGGCATGACGATGGATGAGCAAGAGAAGATTAGACTTACGGCTAGACGAGTTGGGTTGAATTTGCCTATTGAGGTTAAAGATCGGAAGGAGGAGTGAATCGGTTTAGAGGTATACTGGTTACACGGGGTGGATGGGGGATATGGTGGGAAAAGGAAAAGTCATGTGGTAGACTTGTGGGCTTATATATATGTGGAGTTTGGGTGTCTTGTATGATTGTGTGACTGTGTCATTTATAGATTGTATATTATTCTATGGTATCTGACTGACTGACTATATAATTCATGTGAAGTCCGTTCATTGATTGTGCGTCTGTCTTCGTGATGTCTTTGGTTTTGCACCATGTATATATAGCGGGCCGTGCGGTGTCGCGGAGGGTATTCTCCACACTGGATGACGGGCCTTATGTGTGGACGATAGTTGTCGGCCAGTGGGGACAGCTGTAGGCTGTACATGTGTCTGGATGTAGCGATCAGGGGATCTACGACGGAAAGAACTGGTTGATATCAGGTTGACTGTATCAGCCACCCAGTTGGACCCGTTCCATCTGTCGCATGAGTGTGCTGCTGCTCTCTTCATCTTCTAACCCCACGCCCACTTCGATCGCCGTCTTGGGCCGGTTCTTATTCAGTCCTTCGAGCAGGTTGCATGCCTTGCAAATCTTCTGACTCGATATATATCCGCACCGCTCGCATGTGCCCATCGTTTGTGTCTTGATAGTCTTCTGTGTTGAACCCTTAGTCCCCTTATTCTGCTTCTTACGAGGGAGTAGAACACTCTGTGCTGGCAGTTTGATCTCAACCTCTCTCGACTCCGCCGCTTCATCATCAGCCAACTTCTTTTCCATCTCCGCCATTTCGCCACCACGCGTCCGGCCATTCTGGCTTCCACATCCACCAGCCGATTCATCATCCGCAGATCTAGCACAGGTTTTACCCTTAACCTCCGCAGGGACAAGCTCCGCCATGTCCTCCCCACTCTTAACAATATCCAAGATCGAGCTGGGCCGAATCTTCTCCAAATCCTTAATCAGCGTCCGCGCACTACCTCGAAACGCCTCGGGAGAGTAGATACACTCGGTACTGAAGTAATCCAGTTGTTTATGGTGGGCATAGAGCACGATCTCCTTCTCATACGCATACTTCAAAGGCTTACTGCGCTTGATATCCGACGCAGCCGAATCCGTAACGATACTCGTACCCCTCGACAAGCGCGGCAAATCACCCCGCAGCAGATTCATCATAACCGTCTCCGCAACATCATCCGCATTATGCCCCGTAACAACATGCTTGATGCCCAATCGCGCCGCACCGCGGTCTAGCGCCTGGCGTCGGAACACCCCGCAGTATGTGCAGTTGCCTTTCTTGCCCACCTGCGCCACGACCTGGTCCATCGTCCACCCGTATAACTCGTCGTAGCCGACAATCTCCAGTGGCATGTCATATTGCTCTGCGTTGCGTTTGACTGTCTCTAGACTGTCGTCGCGATAACCTTTGATTCCCTCGTCGATAGAGAGAAGGCAGAGATCAAGGCCATAGCCGTAGCGCTCGTTTAGAGTCTTCAGGACGGAGGCAAGGACAGTGCTGTCTTTTCCACCGCTGGCACCGATGGCGACCCGTTCCCCAGGGTAGAAGAGGGAGGTGCTGGTGATTGTTTCGTGGACTTCGGTTTCGAAAACATGGAGGAAACAGGTTCGGCAGAGCTTTTCGCGGTTCTTTGGCCGGACTATTACTGCCCGGTTGTTTTGGCAGTGGAAACAGGGTGAGGGCGCCATTTTGAATTAATTTTTGAGAATGAATTCAAATTGGCTTTGGTTTGGAGGGGAAGAAAATCAGTGATAATCGATAACCATGATAGGCTTGTGAGTTTGCTTTGTTTGCATTGCGGAGAAGAAAAAAAAAATTCAATTTGTAGCAAACAAAAATAAGCAGAACAAGAAAGGTTCCATTGCACGGAAAAATGTAATCACGGTTGGATTCTAATTAAAAATCTTGGTATCGCTATACCTATAATATACATAATCATGACCCAATCACATCTAGATATTAAGGTTGTTGTAAGAGAGTACAAGAAACCTGAAGAGGACTTTTACAGCTTCCCCTTGAACAAGTTGGCGATCATCTCCCGGCCCGTGATTCTAGAAGTAGCCCACAGGGTAGGGAAATCCAGAGTGCTGGAGAAAGTATCGGCATATCCGAAGAAGAGCATGGGAGGGATCCAGCCACGGGCATATTCCAACGCGAAGCAGGACTCATCCATCTTGTATTGCTTCACCTCGCCACGTTTGAGGTGGTGCACGCTGCCCTGAGGGTAGACCTCAGGCTCGTAGGATCCAGGGACATAGGCAAGCTGGGTACCCTGAAGGATATTGAAGTAATCATCCGCAGTGTGACGGCCAGTGTGACCTTCGGTGCCGATTGCGGTTCCTGAATTCCGACATGGTTAGCAAGAGGGGCATAGTATGGGCGCGCCGTTGGAAATGGGTCTCAAAAAAGGGGGAGATGTGGAGAGGAAAGAGTTCGAGAGCCGCACCAAAAATAATCAAGTACTCCGTGATACCTGGTTGAATGTTAGCAATTTGTAGGAGTCGGAGGACGGAGAAAGGAGATAGATTCCGCTTACTAGCATGAATAATATACATGGCACCCATGGCACCACCGGCGTTGTTGAACACCCATTCCTCGTCCTTGTTCAGGTGGTTTCCGGGGACCTTCTCATCTAGCTCCGAGACAATGTAATTTACAACGGCGCGAGTATCGTTTCCATGTGCAGCAATTGCACGCTGAGAGAGGTCATGCAACTGGCCGGGTTCAAAGATGTAAAACTGCTCGAGACGCGCGTTGAAGTAATTGTACAGGCCGGCCAGAACGGCCAGTAAGGTGGCCAAGAGAGTGAGGGTACGCATGAGTAACGAATTGGATCAAACGGGGTTTCAGAGGAATTAGTTCGGCAACAGGAGATAGAAGGAATGTAAGTTGAATCGGAGAAGTCAGATGGATCAGGAACGACAATAACAAACGTCGGTGGCCGCGGAGCACGGCACCGAAAGGGTTTAGCGCAACCCCGATTGGGCGTCTTAGCCTTGTGGGGATTCTTTTGCTGGAAAGGCTCCGTCCATTCTTCTACTCTATTTCTTGCAAAACTACTCCGTAGTATCCCCTGACCATCCATGACTACCGGTATCACATTTACGAATGCCGACTCAGCAAGGTCACTCTCGAGAAATCTCTCTGTTGGCCAGATTTCTTATATTAGGCTATATCTGACGCATAGTTCCTGCAAAATCACTTTCAAGACGGAGCTGTCTCCGTCCGGCTGGCATGTAGATCGTCATTGTGCAGTCTTCTTCATTAAAAATTGACAAATGTCATCCATCCTGTCTCTCCGATGTTCACCCGTATAGTGGCTCACCGGATAATTAATTTCCTTTCCGATAATTGATGGAGTTGACTGTCTCAGGATGAAGAACTTTAACTCCATGGCTCCACGCTTCAGCGGGTCCGCCGGGTACTTCAAACACCGGCGCATCGCATTCAACGCTTGATTTAGGCCACCATTCAGCGCTCGTCCGCTCTGGCACGGGGTCTCAATCCTCTAATCCCAACATGCCGAATTAACCGGAGATTAAACCACGGTTCAGTGTGTTTCTAGCTGAGGACGTATCCGATGTGAGGGTCAAAGTGCCACCAAAAGAGCAGGTATATATACCGGCTTCCAGCTCCGGATCGCCAGCCAAAGATATCTATCCAACGACGAACTAAAAACCTAGACATTAAGTCTTAGCCATCACTTGATATATTCAAAATGAAGTTCCTCGCTCCTCTTGTTCTCAGCTCTCTCGCCTCAGCTGCCGCCCTCAACCGCCGGGCGGATATGTGTGGCCAATGGGACACCACCACTACCGACAAGTTCACTTTGTACAACAATCTCTGGGGCGAGGGCAATGCAGACAGTGGTAGCCAATGCACCGGCCTCGATTCGGATAACGGAAACACCATTGCCTGGCACACCAGCTGGAGCTGGACCGGTGGAGCCGGCCAGGTCAAGAGCTTCGCCAATGCTGCCTACACCTTCGAGGCCACTCAGCTGAGCCAGCTAAGCAGCATCCCCAGCACATGGAAGTGGCAGTATGTCGTTATATCAACTAAATGTGTTTAGTTGGGCACTAACCTTTCCTAGGAACACTGGCTCCGACGTTGTTGCTGATGTTGCATATGACCTCTTCACTTCGTCCAGCGCAGATGGAGATGAGGAGTACGAGATCATGATCTGGTTGGCAGCCTTGGGTGGTGCTGGTCCTATCTCGTCGACCGGATCTACTATTGCTACCCCCACCGTGGGCGGACAGAGCTGGTCCTTGTACAGTGGCCCCAACGGCCAGATGACAGTGTTCAGCTTCGTCGCCTCATCCACGACCGAGGACTTCTCGGCTGACCTGAATGATTTCCTCAAGTATCTGCAGGAGGAACAGGGCTTGCCTTCCAGCCAATACCTGACCCATGTGCAGGCGGGTACTGAGCCCTTCAGCGGAAGCGACGTCAAGTTCACCACCTCTTCCTACTCTGTGTCTGTTGCCTAATCGCCATCCTGCCAACTAGGTTGATGACGGTTTTGTAAATAGTTTGAGGCGATGCTAGGCGCCGTGTTTCAGGGACCGTCAGGGATAGCGGGATGAATGGAGGGTAAAAGGTTCCGGATATACATACCTCAGGAAGGAGGCTGAATCATTCCGTGTTTTGGCGAGAGGGGTACAGGCTGTCTGTTGCCTGTTTTATTGTGAATATCTGTGATTGTCTTCTTCTACCCGCTCGCTCCCGTGGGGCATGAGGCGTCTAGCTTGTTGAGTATATATGTTTTATTTAGAAATCATGATCGAAAACATCTAAATATAAATTCCCGGCGTCTAATGAGACAGTCGAATGGGATTAAACGATTGAAGTGGCGCCGTATAAATATAGAAAGGCAACTAGCTCGTACTAGTAGATCAGGGACCCAGGTAAGATAGTATCCATCTTAAGATCTCAAGTCGAGGGATTGCAGCGTCTGCACCCCCCGGCGCTTAACTGCCTGCAGGAACCAAACACAATCAAACCAACCAAACCCCCCAACCTCAGGCTCCAAACCTCCACTTGGGTAGTAAACTTGTGACCAACAGTACATTTTCCAGGCATCAATCAACACCAACCCCAGGACAGGATCATCACTAGTCACTCCTTCTCCGGCATAGGGAGCATGACGCACCCCTCGGGTGTCAATTGTCAGGAATCGTACGCTATCCTGTCATACATACCATCGCATGATTTTTGACAGGAAGCGCGCCATAGGATCGTGCGAACTCCCGCCACGATGTAGGGGAAAGAAAACGCGACCGCCGAAATAGGCCTTCGTGGCGAGCCATCCACTTGACGAGAAAATGGTCTAACCCTTGATTGAATCATATCTCGTGTTCGGAGATCTGATTGACGGAGAGCTTATTGCCAATCATCCACCCCCCTGGGGTTGCGCGCCAAATGAGATCATGGGGGAGTGGATGGCCGGTATGCACGATGCGCGTCCAACCGCCGTCCTTGCATAGCATTGCCAGCCTTCACCTCTGAACCACTGAACCACTGAAACTAACTATCCACTAGCAGGGGATGTCTTGCCCTCACTCTGAGTTTCTGATAGATACTTATATTCAGTCAGTCACTCGCTACCATTGTTCAGCATGGCATTCACACACTTCAAGCTTTCTCTCATTCTCTTTTTATATATCGATCGGTCGGTCTCTTCATAGGTCTTTCCTTATCGTATTCTCTCTATTAAATTGATCGATTTGATTATCACTGAATTAATTTTTTTTTCCCGTTCAATATTGTCTCACCGTGCCCCAGTGCCGCCGCTCCATACTTCGGAAGGTGATCCATCAGGTTGACACGACAACCTCTACATTCCTCTTACTCCTGCTGGCAGGAATTTTCGCGACTCTACCAAATATATCTAGTTTTACATTCCTTAGATTTTTGTCTACAAGGCAAACATTGCCTCTTTTTATCCGTTGCTCTCGCTCTGTTCTGTTCCCTCTTTCCTTCTACTAAATGCACACCATGAACTACCCCCCGTTCTATACCACCACCACAATGGAGCAAGTCAGCCAACCTGATCAAATGAACCACTTCCAACATCTCAATCGAATCGCTCTCCATGAGTTTGTCCGACTACCAGTCTCTCGTGAGATGGTGGCGCATCTAGCGATGCAAGCCTCTCAGGTCATCCGTTGCGAACCTCATGTGACCACGGCCAGCGCTCATGGCCAACCAACACCTCCTAGTACACCTCCTTTGGATGCGGTTGATACTCAACTTCCACCTTTGCCCTCAGTCGAAATGTTTATTGCTTCACTAGTCACCCGCTCTCAGGTTCAGGTTCCCACCCTGATGACCTCCCTGGTCTACCTGGCCCGTTTGCGTGCTCGTCTCCCGCCTGTCGCAAAGGGCATGCGCTGCACTGTGCATCGCATCTTTCTTGCTTCCCTCATCTTGGCAGCCAAGAACCTAAATGACTCTAGCCCGAAGAACAAGCATTGGGCCCGGTATACTACCGTCAAGGGCTATGACGGGTTTGCCTTCTCCCTCCCAGAGGTCAACCTGATGGAGCGACAGCTTCTGTTCCTGTTGGATTGGGATACCCGCGTTACTGAAGACGATCTCTTCTGTCACCTCGAACCATTTTTGGCACCCATTCGCTACCGCTACCAGGTTCAAGAACGTGAAGCCGAGATGCGCCAGCCCCGCGAATGGCGCCGTATTCAGGCCTCCGCTGAACTCCTTGCTTGTCGTCTTCGTCGTCAGAAACTGGAAGCTCGCCTCGAGGCTCGTCGATCCGACTCCGTACATCGCCGGCAGCGATTACCCGCGAGCCCGGCATCGTCTGCATCGCTGTCTTCCATGTCATCCAACGCATCACCAGCGTCCCTGGCGGACACTGATCGCCACAAGCCCTATCGTCCGCGGAGGCGCCCGTCGACCCGCAGTGGTGCTTCTGTCTCACCTCCATCTGCCCAGGATGTGCCGTCATTGACCCGAGTGGATACGGTGCCTTCGTTGAGCTCGCGCGCGTCTAGCATTGCGCCAAGCTCCCGAAATGCCACTCCAGCTAGTCTGCACACATCTAGCTCGATCACCAGCATGGAAGCTGATATCCGAGTAGTTGATGGAGCGCGTAGCCCATCTATCAGCTGCGGATACGTTCCGGTATCTTCCATGATGGCGTCCAACCCCAAGCTGGAAGAAATTCAGCAGCCTACCAAGAAGGTTCGGATGAACGGACATGTCGGGCACACTGGATTCGTCGCTCGAATCCTGGCCTCTGCCGCGGGTTCTTACATGGGTGGGCGCATGCGCTCACATGTTTAACCATCTTATCTCCCAGCTGAGCTGGTCTTAGCTATTGATTGATATCCTCGTCTTTCCCTTCCCATCCTAGCACCCCGCTGTTACCTTGAATGATAATTTGCCTCTCATGTCTTGCAAGAAAAGTGTCCCCCCCTGATGTCCAGCAATACCCCCGGTAGGTCTACGTTCGTTTATTATTGCATTGCATTGGCGTTATTTTTTTTTTAATATATTTTTCTATTTATGCTCATGCCAACCCTCGTTCATAACACTGATTTCCTGGGACACTTTCGTTGGTACAGATTGCTTAGCTATCACGCACTACACAAATCTGTTATTCATGTATGTATGATGCCCTCACCTACAGACTAGTTCATGCTATAATAAAATGCTCTTATACCACATTCTATAAATAGATAGCCGAGTCGCCCTGTTCGTATCCCAGAAGTACTCTCTAAGCGAGCAACTAATCCCTGCACACCTTGCATTACCCAAGCTATACTGTAGATGCACGACACAGTGCAACCCTCTCAGCGCGTCGATCCCCGGATCGACAATGATCAACAAAAAACAAACCGTGCCAGGAATTTCAACCGCCACGCTCCAGCAACAGCGTATGCGCACCGGATTAGTCAAGGAATGCGAACCGCACGGTCTAGAATCTAGTAGATCCCTCGGAGCTGAGAAGCACCTCACACGAAGAAATCCCCTAGCGGACGATCAATGTGTTGATCGATATAATAATATGTATATGGACAAGGGGAGCGGGGTTCACATTCTGCGCTTTGGGGTTGGGTTTACCAATTGGTGATTCTAGATTTTGGTCTTATCTCTTTTTACTTCGACATGGTTTTGTAGAGATGAAAGACATCATGGGTGGGGTTGATTGATGCTAATGTTTTCATTTAACCGCCAAAATTCATGACTGTGGTATTTTTCTTCACTTTTACATATAATTCTTTGCTTCTTGCGTTTGTGCCTTTCATATGGCTGGGGCTTCCCAGCTGTCGCGTTTGATTTTCATCAGGTTGGACTGTTTGTGTGGGAAGCTTACTTCGCCTTCTTTGTAGAAGCCTGCTTTTTGAAGGTATTCGAGGACCCTTTTTTTTTGTTGGTTTTTCGTTAGTATTTCTGTGAGCATATCGCTGAGTTATGAAAGGGATAACTTACTTTGTGTTGTCCACTCGAGGTTCCAGCATGACTGTCTCAGTGCGTTGGTCTGAGAGCCAGCAGTAGTGCACCAAGGCGCTCAGCCAAATTTGCACCCGGTGCGCACCGCGGTACTCCTGCTCTCCGACTAGCAGGTGAATTCCCCGATCGTAATTGCCGGCGCCCCCGATGAGTTGTCCCAGCCGGTCTTCTTTAACCCAGTAGATCTCGAAGTATCCGAAGGGTTTGCCGTCCCAGCATCCGATAACCGGGAAGCTATGTCGGCTTTTCAGGTTGTTGCGGAGGAATTCCTCCTGGTGGGAGATGGGTCCGGCCTCTCCCCATGCTGCGCTGACTCTTGGGTCGTTCATCCACTTGTGCAGGTAGTCGAGGTCCGAGGGCGTGTTCGAGACCACTGGGTCACTGGTTGAGGCTGAAGAGGTGTGTGCTTTACTCGGTGCTCCTCCCGGAGCCTGAGTCTTCTGTGAAGGGAGATATGGGACGCGGAATGAGAGATATTGCCCGACGCTGGGAATGTATCGAATGTAGAATACATCTCCCTGGTGCGGTGGCTTGGGCCTGATGGGGTGTCGGACTCCATTTGTGAAGGTGTACTGAGTAGCTGGCGGGGGGTAGTAAGTTGGAAGATTGGCACTAGAGGCAAACGGCCCTTCGTTGGGTGCGTAGTGGCTAGTGTCGCTGGGGGGAGGGCCAGAATCAGCGAGGTACATCGTCTCACGGGTTGGAGACGACAGCTGGCGGGTATGATGTGACGAGCCGGGTACATTCTGCCCTGTATTCACAGGGCTCAAAGAGAAGACGAAAAGGCGGGGATCGATCTGCCAGAAAGAGCGTCGGCTCACGAACATCGACTCCCATGACTCGTTATCGAAGGCATCCGGCCCCACGGATGAATCCTCGGTGGCAACCAGCCCCATCCGTTCCAGCTTCTGAAGCACGTTTCGTCCCTTGAAGATGCCCTCGCGCTTGATATTGACCCGCCATTCGCCCTTCGGTCTACCCGCCGTGGGTGTGCGCGACGAAGCCTCCGTCTCAAGGTGGAGGTCGGGTTCGGGCTCGTGGAAGTACCACCAGAGTGTAACCCAGAGCATCATGGCGATCTGGCGAGAAGCAGAGAGAGCGGGTTTATATTCGCTGTTTGCAGGACTGACGATGGCTGAGAGGTACAGGCAATCGTCGCGCAAGGTCGGTGCTGTGAATCGAGAGCTGTGCGACTGGTCGTCAGCCTTTCCTCCGGCTTCACGAGCTCGGTCAGGCGCTCCATCAGATTTATCCTTTCCCTGGGTATGCTGTCTGGTGTACAGAACGATCGTCCATCCAGGAGGGAGTAAGGAGCGATCCAAGTGTGCATCGTGGATCCTGAAGGTGAAGCCCCCGAACACAGGCGAGACTGAGATTAACTGCCCGTTAGGCAAGTGGCAGACGTTGTTGCGCATGACGAGGGATGACCTTTCTAGCCAAGCCAAAAGGAATGAGGATATAGGGAGAAGAGACAGATGAAGGACCGACAGGCCTTAAGAAAGGTGTGCAGAATTCAAAAAAGGACTGGCGTGGAGACGAGTGGGATGATCCTCCCTCTTGCCCCTCATCGCAGCCAACTGATCTCCCCGCGAAAAGGGAAAAAAAAAAAAAAAAAA